AGTTCTGAGGAAGTTTGACATACCATGAAAAAGCAGCCCCTGTGAGGGTGCTTGGGAATAGCCTTAATTTCAAGACCTCACGATGTCCGATTTCGGCACATTGACAGGATAGTAGGGTGGCTACAAATCTTCCCAAAATTAATGCCTTCCGGAGCTCTAGGCGTGAACTTCCTGACAATTTGCTTCTCTCACACCCTTGCTCAAACACCTTGGAGAACTCAATCTACCCTTGGTATTTCATGCACTCACTAGTTTCCAGCTACTTTACCTCTCTCTCACGGCTGCACTCTTGCCTCTATCTTAGCTTAGCTATATCTTCGACCAAAGATGAGAACATCTTGAACCAAGTCCTCAAATTAGGCTTCCATGTTTCCTGCAGGTTGTTCTCTCCTTTACCAATCAAAAGCAACTTAAAACAAAAGCCCTGCATGGAAAAACACCCAAGGAACCCAAAGAGAGAGGTTAAAAACATGTGGAAAAAATAGCACAGCAGAAACTAGACGGCCGGTTGCTTTTCTTCAATTTCTTGTGTCTTTTAGTTGAGCCAAATTCCTCCAACGGATTTTTCCATCCAACCGCAGATCTTTGAGTTCGACGGAGGATTTTTCCACTGGACGAAGGATTTTTCCATCCAACCAATCATGACATATACATATATATATAACTTAAACAAAAAGCAATAGGCCAATTGGTGGCCTCTGAGTCATCTTCAGAAAATTCCCACGCCATTTTCATATATATATATATGTATAAAAAGTGATTGTAATCATGCAAACACTAAAGCAAAGCTTTAGCCTTCCCGTCACTTTCTCCCACCAACACATAGTTTTATATTGAAAAGTTGGAACCCTTTACTTTGTTTAGCATCTTTTCTCTTCCCTTTTGCAGAGAATTCCTACGCCCCATTCATCAATTGCATCTGCTCAACTCCAACTCCAACTTCCCCATAGCTGTGTGAGCTCCTCCATAGCCAGTTAATCCATTAACAGGTAACTTACTATCACATGCCAAATTCTTTATCATACTTAAATTTAAACTGATAACAACAGGCCAATTGATGGCCTTTGAATTATTTTCAGATTTTAATGCATTTTTTCCTCTCACAGCCATGGTCTGCATATATATATATATATATATAAAACTTAAACAAATGGCAATAGGCCAATTAGTGGCCTCTCAGTCATCTTCAGCAAAATCTTCACGCCATTGACATCATGTACTGGGATATTTCTGGATATAAAGGCAACCCATTGAGTGCATTTATATAAATGCATTAGTTGAGGCTAACAAACAATTCTATCAGATGCAACTTGATCTGATGTGCCTTCTGCATGAATAGATATGAATAAATATATTGGTGCACCATATTGTTGAAGCTCAATTATGTATTGTTGAAAGGGGCACCAATATGTATTTATTCATATCCGATGTACAACAATTAAATAGATGCATTTATATTGTTGAAAGCATTCTTATGGGTTATAATTAATTGCTGTGAATTTTCAACCACACTCAAACAGAACTAAGAAAAACTTAGGGAGAATTTCAGCACAAAGATTTCATTACAACAATTGAAAACTAGAAAGAGAAACTAAGAGAATTTGAGGGAGAGAAGGGAGGGGAGCTCTAGAGAAGTGTTTGAGAGCTCCCCCCCTTGGGGGTGTGTTTTGAAGCTTGAAGACTTCTCTATTTATAGGGCTAAGAGGGAGGAACATCATGATGAATTCCAACACCACCATTCCTCTTTTAATACAATCCATAACTCCCACTTCATCTTGTCTATGTTAGTGTGGTTGGAATCAATTCCATCCCATACTTCTTTTGTTGCATCTCAAGCTTTCTTCACATGGGTTTGCTGGTTTCTTTTTTTAGCATGGAGGTCTGGCTCTTTATTTGCTGCCAACCCATGTGCTGCTAGTCTTTGTTGCTGGCTAATAAAGTTCTTTTGTTGTTGCACATGTGTTGCTGGAAAAACGAATTTATCTGAACCAGGCTTGGTGTAGGAAGGCCTGAGGTTTCAATATGTATCCAATGGGGCTCAAATTTGGATATGTCATAATAGACACCCATTGGAACAACCTTTATGAAGAATGAATTCCCATTTGAGCAGTACAAGTGTACAGTTTGGGCCTTGCAAGTTGACTGCCGAAAATAGACTGGAATTGACTTCATTGCGGTCAGCTTGTGGGCTTGTTTTGGGCTTGATCTTCCCTCCTACAAAATCTGGATCTTCAAACCCTTTGAATTATCTTTCCAAGCATATGCAGCCCAGCTCAAGGCAAAATCAGAAAGCCCTTCAAATGTGATATTCGGCCCAGTAACGCAGATGCTGCCAAATTTGACCTTAAGTTGCCAAAACTTGTATAACTTTCTCTAGAAGACTCGGAATCATAAACCGTAAAATTCTCCAGAAACTAGACTTCCGTATCTTTCCAATGATGTATGGCTCATCATCTGGTTCTTCTTGAGCAAGTACAGTCCAATCCGTGAAGTTGAGTGATCTGGCTTGACGTTAGTGCGTAGCTAGTAGCATCGAGACTGCTGCCTTCTCGGTAGGGCTCGACCCTCTTGGGGTGTTGCCCGCTTTGTCTGGCCCTGTGGGGCATCAAAGGTGAGGTAACTGGCATTCTCTCTTGAAAAAACGCTCGCAAGTCTGACGAAATTTTATCCATTGCGTCCATAAAGGATGTTTCTATCATGTAGGCCTGCCTAGCCATTAGATCTTCCATCTAGGATCGCGCTGGTATGAATTCAGCCACACAGGCCATCGTCATTGGGAGGCTAGCCGAAGTGTTGACCGGTTGCTCGGTGTCGGCGGTCATTATTGGTGAAGTTGACTCAGGAGTACTGGAAGTCATTTTGATTCTTTTGTTCTTGAGCTTTGTTTGTGACCTAATTTCCACCAAAAGGTTTTGACAATATGTCCCACCGGGCGTGCCAAAAATGTTGATGGCTTCGAATCTCGCGGCCTGGTGCTCAGGGCCGAGGGGATCCGCATCAACACGGGTCATTCTTCTTTGGTGCAGTGTAGTTGTGTACGGGCGTGCCAGCACGGTTTACCGTGCGTTCGAGGATGATACGAGTGGATGAATGGATGGATTGCGCGCCTGTTTGAGTCTGACCTCAAATCAGAGCGACTGTGACCGAGAGAGGAACTGATCTCGGCCGTCAGGTTCACGGCCTGAGCTACAAGGCCGTTAATGATGTTGCTAATGGTGGATTTGTAGGTGGTGCTCCGGCTCATTGCTGGATTGCAACGGTCGTATGATATGTGGAAAGAACGGAAAAGTAACAAGGATGGTGCTCCAGCGCCCTGAAAAATCAAGGGTCGTTTGATATATTGATGAACGGATTTTCTTACAATCTGTCACTACTCCTAGGAAAGCAAGTAAAGGTATTGAAAGTGCACTACAGAAAGATAAATGACAAGAAAGTATAATTTGCTCCGTGGGATGGGAGGCTTGTGTTTTTGGTGTCAACCCTGTAAATGTAGGTGGAGCCTGGTATTTATAGAAGAGACTCTGGGAGGAAAGTGAAGCTAATATCTGCATGACGTGGTTGATCAAAACTAGTGGGTAATCTGGACAACATTTGACGTGAAGCATGGTGGTGTGACCCCCATAAATCTCGGTCGCCGCCCTGATCGTCGGCTCTGCGTCTTGGGCCTTGGAGGAGCATTTAATGCTCTAGTATGATAGTTGGTGACTTAGTCTTACAAGTCACAAGATCTCGCGCCTAATCATCCTGATTTTACTCACCATATACTGTCTCCAATCACTTCCCTTCTTCCCTTACGCATTAAATGCTTTTGCACAGATCGTAGGTCCTCAGCTGCAGTTAGGAGCATCACCTCATTAAATGAAGCGTGGGACCTCAATGACATGCGGCAACGCCCTTGACTTTTCCCCTTTAGCCGTGTATTTGGGGGATTACTATTTTCTTCGTTCAAAGCTCACCGTGGCCGTGATGATTTCGCCTTCATAAATCTCCCCTTTTTTACGAGGAAAAGCGGATGACAACCTTTTGGGCAGGCACCTTAGCCGAGAGGCTGTTTCTTCGGTCGGCCTCACAGGCCGAGAATTTTTAGGTACAAACAGCCTTGTTGAAACTGGTGAGTTCATACTCCATTGATACGCAGACAAGGCTTGACATGCTGCAGATTTCTAATGAAAAGATTCTGGGAGACCACGAGAGGCTCATGGCTAAGCTTAAGAGGTGTCGTCCTCTTCCTACAGAGGCTTCCAAAACATAATGGAAGTTTATGGATTTTACAGTGCCTGCTCCTTCCTTGCAGGTGAAGAGAATCTATCTATTGTATGCTCATTTTCTGTTATAATAATTGGGCAAATTCTTAAACTTGCACCTATGGTTTTCACGTCTTTTCAAAATCACGGTTTGAACCTTGTGCTTTATAGGTTCAAATAACCATAACAAATCTCTCAAATTACATATTTCAATGCATGTGAGTCCGAAACTTCTGGCCTGGGCTAAAACACGACCTCATAATTTATTTGTCCTTTTCAAATGGGCATGAAATATAAATTGAGTAAAGGCCATGATAACATTGCAATATAGTCACTACTACAATTTTCCCTTATCCTGGCAACTCTCTATGGTCAGTACAAACCCCATTATTGGCGGAAATTCGTCAGTAATAGCTTCCTGACGAGTGCGGCGACGAAAATGAGGGTCATCAGTAAAAGTCCTGTCAGTACTACTAATACTGACGAAACAAATGGCCATTATTAAATTATTTTTTTCTCAAGATTATTGTTTTAGGATTGGATAGTAGTGGCCAAACATTTGTCAGGATTGTTCTTAACCAAAACAAAACAAAAATAAAAATTGATTGTTTGCCAATTTCTTTGTGTGCTGATGCACCATTAAATCTCTTTCTTTCAAATGCCTTTTGTTTTGTAATATAATCTGCATATTTTTCGTTCTTAAAAAAATAAATTGATACTGAAAATGTAATAACAATTATAAAGTACACTAATATAAATACTCAAAGATTTATCGATATACAACCACCATCCTTATAAAATATAAAGTACCAATGTTGATTACAATAGCCAAATATACAAAGGTCTGCCTACATCAGTAGAGTTCAAAAAGTTTTGTTGCCCAACCTATTCAAAATATGCCATGCCAAATGTTCTATCTCTGACACTACAAAAGTATGCATACTGTGACTCAAGGTGACGTAGTTGTGTCCTCGCAATATCTTGGATGACCCTGCCTTCGTCTGAATCCAAGGCACCTGATGTGGTTTAACCCCAAGTCCTTCACCAAATGACTCAAGAAATGCAATGCCAGAGGGTATGGACTATTCCAAGAAAAGAAGGATCATCCTTGCCTACCTTTTAAGTGCTTTTATTCTCGAACTCAACCAATAACGTTCCTACATGTCACACTGATGTGTGGATCACATACCAGAACATAAGAATATGGTTTTATCAAAGATTAGCAAAACAAGAAATATTGCATCAGCTTGCCTTTTAGAAAATAACCTAAGCCTTTGTCTATCTACATTATCATACCACAAATAAAGTGGATTGAAGGAGCAAGGTAGATTCAAATTTTAAAAAAACCAAAGCCTGAGTCATGTTTCACATAATTGGAGGTTCTAAAAATTAAAAATATTGACAAAAACCATAATTGAAAGAAACAATGACTAACATAAAGAAAGTAGATACAGAACATGTGGCTGACTGTTATTTCTAGCAATTGCCAATGATGCGACCACCTCTGCAGACAGAACATATATAGGACCATAAGCATGCGAAAGTATTCATTCCCAATTAGATGTCTTGATTTCTCATACCTGAATAATAAATTAATGGATGGATTCATAAATAAAAAAAGAAAAAGAAAGAATCAGACAATCACAAAGGTAAAAGCTCTGATAACAATTTTAAAACCCATATACCATTTCATTTTAGGGTCAGTGATTACTAGTCCTTTCTTCATGCATCCAATGTAGGTTTGTGAATGTGTTCTCTCCGTGGCTTGAAGTGTTGCTAGTTGATCTGACAAACCTAAAAGTTCAACCAGTAGCTTGCTCCAATCTACAAGAGAATGGTTTGAAAAAAGAACCATTAAAACCGCAACAAAAAGATCAACATGGCATTTTCATCAAAGCCAGATATTGTTGATCTTAATCTAGATGAGCTGTAAACATCATAGCTAAGCTAATAAGGATCAACCTCAGCAACTGATCATGGTAAGCAAACCCAGAAGTGATATCAAACAAGTGCATCATATAACAATATAAAAATACAATCTGGTCAAAACCAACATCAGAAAGAGGACAAAAAGCCCCCAGCAAACCACCAAAACCCCAACAAAAAACGAAAACAGAACCACAACCTAAACAAGCCCCAAACTACAAGAAAATCTTATTCAAAGAACAACAATATCATAGAAAAAGGTAAAGGGAAACACACCAGGATTCTAAGTTTTCAAAAAACATTCAACAATCCTGCAATAGATAAATACATGCATACCCACAAATCAGACTTCATCAACAAATAATAAAATATTGAAACAAGAGCTTTAAAAAATCAAAGGATATAACCAGGCTTCACATCTACAACTCAACTAGTCATCGTCCATGTCTACATCATAAAATTTGTTTTCTAATTTTTATAACTAATCAGAAGGATTCATGGGTCATTTACCCATACTCAAATACCTTAAAAAATAAAAGAAATAGGAAACAAAAATCTCACCAGAATAGGGGCCCTCTTTAAAGAAGAAGAACCAAATCAGACCCATTTGAAAAGAGCAAAGAAAACCCCCAAATTTAATCTCCCTGTTAATCTGAACTAGTAGATAAAAAAATCACAACCACATGATTCCTCGAACTCCAACAACTCTAAGGAAGAAAACAATTTCTTCTTCAATGGAAAAAAAAAAGAGAGGAAGAGGGAGGAGGGGTGAGTGAGTGACAGAGAGCAAAACCCAAAAACAAAAGAAAAAAAGAGAGAGAAGAGATGGTCTTTTTTGCTCAATGAGAGAGAGAGAGAGTCGGTTTGGAGGTAGTAGAGAGAAAGTTTAAGTAAAAAAATTATATTTAAGTCTAGTACTGGCAAACCAACTCATCAGTGCAAAAATTTGGCTTACAAATTTGGGTGCTTAATATTTTGGCTTCGCGCCATTGAAGGGGCTGGTGTTGTGGCAAACCACTTTACTAGTATTATTTAGTAGGGACAAACCACTTTACTTGTCAGTAATGGGTCCTAGAACTGGCTAAACTGCTTCTTCGTCAGTAATAGGTTGTTGGTATAAGCTAAAATTGTAGTAGTGAGTAGTGAAGAACATTAACTACTATATACCCAAAACTTTAGATTAAGGATCTCTCATATATTTGGATCCATGGGCTTCCAGCCTATATCATATAACAAAATATGTGGGAGCCTCAATTCATCCTTTGAGGTTTATCCTGATATTACCCATTTCACGATGTATTCTTAACAACCGAAATTCACAAAATATATTTCTTCGTTGAGGTGTCGATTGTAACAGAATCGAACTTTATTAAATTCATCATTTTCTTATGCCAAAGAAAGATGTGGTGTACCACAATTTGCAATAATACCTCAAGGGTTGTCCATTTAACTGTTGGAACTTCAGGTTCTCAATATTGCCAGATTTTGAACTTCATGCCAAAATCGCATATTTTCATGGTATGGACATTCAATACTCTTAGATTTTGAACTTCGGGCCAAAATCACATATTCTCATGGTATGGACATTTTTATAATTTCTTGTACATATTTCGGGACTTCAGGTCCTTACATAATTGTCCATGTTTTGAGGAACTTCTGGCATCTCATTTAATTGCTCATCCATGAGTTTAAGGAACTGCAGGTTCCCTTTTGTATATAGTGACGGTTTACCCAAAATGGTTAATATTTATGTATGCGTCACTATTCATGTATATGGTACTATTTATCAGGTCATGAATACGTGTCTATTCATGTGTACAGTACATTTGCCAATACAGTTATGATTCATGTGTACTGTACTATTAACCAATACGATACTATTACATTATTAAGGAACTCCAGGTCCTTATTTACATGTCAAGGATCAAGGATCTTCAAGTCCGATCTCTTGCATATATATATATATATATATATATATATATATATATATATATATATATATATATATATATATATATATATATATATATATATATATATATATATATATATATATATATATATATATATATATATATATATATATATATATATATATATATATATATATATATATATATATATATATATATATATATATATATATATATATATATATATATATATATATATATATATATATATATATATATATATATATATATATATATATATATATATATATATATATATATATATATATATATATATATATATATATATATATATATATATATATATATATATATATATATATATATATATATATATATATATATATATATATATATATATATATATATATATATATATATATATATATATATATATATATATATATATATATATATATATATATATATATATATATATATATATATATATATATATATATATATATATATTATATCACCATTATAATATGTTCTACTAAACCAAAACAGCTCTCTTATTAATATTATATATTATCACATTAAAGTGATTTTTCCACAGGTTTGAATCCCCACCTCCTGCTTTTCCACTGTCACAACACATATGCACTAAGAGCACTTCCAGCAAGGAGGCTAGGGGGAGGGTTGGGGGGTTTGGGCCAAAATCTGTTTCCAGCAACAAAAAATGGCCCGGCCAAAGTGTGGGACCTAGCAACCTGGGCTGGCCTGAGTTTTGGGATGACGTCAGACCTGGCGTCCAAAATTTTTTTATCGTTGGCGCGTGCCCGCTACAGTACCCCCAACGGCTAGCTTCCACGTGTTGGCGCCTGGGCTCTCCGATCTGATTTTTTCCTCCAATCCAACGGCAGCCAATTTTTGTGCAATAAAAAAATTAAAAAAATACCCAAAAATTCTGAAATTTTTTTCTATAAATACCTACCAAAACTCTGCACTTTCAACACCAAATCCTCATACATTTTCTTCTACTTCTACTATTATTCACTTTTTACTCAACATTTTATTCACTTCCAAATTGTATATTTATTTATCATCTTATGGCTTCTTCTACCGACGGCAGTGGGGCATGGAGCATCATGGAAAATGTTTTGTTGTGTGAGTGTTGGGTCCAAATTTGTCATTATTCCGTCTCGGGCAATGAGATGAAATTTTGTCATATGTGGAAAAAAATTCATGAAGAATTTTGTGGAAGATCGAGTTCAACCCTTACGGAAATGTTATTATCTAGTAGGTGGAAAATTCTCAATAAAGAGTTGGGGAAATGGAGAGATGCCTTGGCAAAAGCGATGGACAACCATAGGAGCGGGAAAAATCTTACCAATGAGTTAAATTATTTGTAATTTTCATTTTATTAATTTTAATGTCCTAGTAATTTTTTTTTAAATGTTTCTTGCAATTTATATATTTTGTTAATATTTCTTGTATTTCCAATATTTATTTAAATGTTTCTTGCATTTCCAATATGTTGTTAATATGTCTTGATTTTCCAATCATTTTTAAATATTTCTTGCATTTCCATTATTTTGTTTATATTTGTTGCATTGCCAATATTTTTTTAAGTTTCTTGCATTTCCAATATAGTTTTTTTATATAGATTTTGCAAGCACAAATGTGGTATGGTGCTACTGGTCAAGGCAAAAAAAGTATCAACCATAACCAATGTTGGGAGGTGGTGAAGAATTGTCCGAGATTCCGAATTATTCCAACGGGTCCAACTGTGGTATTGAACGAGACGCCACTCCATGATTCACCGGCATTGGATTCGCCTATGGATTCCCCGATCAGTCAAGACTCACCCATCCAAAGAGAGCCGAGGCCTATTGGGAGGAAGGTGGCGAAGGCGAAGGCGAAGAGAGTGAGTAATTCTACTAGTAATGCATCTAAATTTTTGGAGGAAATTGCAAGGCAAAGAGCCATGAGACTTGAAATAGACAAGAAAACCCAAGAAGATGAGAGGGCATTTCAAGTGGAATATACAAAAGAAAGGGAGTATGCACGCAACCAAAACATTGAGAAGAAGGATCGGGAAACCATGGCCATGGATACAAGCCACATGTCCCCTGAAACAAAACAATTTTGGAAGCTAGAACGAAGGGATGTTATGAAACGAAGACTTTTTCGTGATGATGGACCTAGCAACACAGATTGGTTAAATGATGAAAACCATTAAGTTAGTTTGCTTGCCTTTTATTTCATTGTATTTTAATGTTTTGTTTTCAAAATTAGTTGTAATTCATGTATTTTATTTCATTAGTAGTATTGGTTTTATTTGAGTGAATAAAGAAAGCATTCAATAAAATACCTTTTTATTCAAGACATTTCATACATAAAAAACAAATCACAAACAAAGCATTAAAAAAACAAAGCATACCTAAAAATAAAATATAAACATAATAAATATAAATAAACTTCTTCGTACTTCACTTCATTCACCGTCATTGCCTTTCACCGCCCATAAATGCTCCATCAAGTCAACTTGACATCGTTCATGAATACAAGACGATTGCATCTCCGTATATCGATCAATCATACGGGCCATTACACGACCGTCCCTAAGCAATGGTTCATGCTGCGCTAGTTCTCCATTTGGCCCCATGGGTTTTTCATAAATTCTTATCATTGCAGTGTTCATTGGATCCGGTTCGTACACGTCTGCAGACTCGTAATCATACTCATCCTCCACAATCATGTTATGGAGGATGATGCATGTCATCATCACAAGTTTAACTCAAAAACATAACCAAATCATAAGCTAGAAGGGTACAAAATGATATACAATTATGAACCGATCACCTCCTCATCAAACAGACGTGCCGCACCCCTAATAATAGCCCACCGAGCTTGGAGGATACCAAAGCACCTCTCCACATCTTTTCTGTACCCCTCTTGATGGGCAGCAAATAACTTTTGCTTCTAGGATCGCGGATGCGGAATTGATTTCACAAATGTGCTCCACCTCGGGTAGATGTCGTCAGCTAGATAATACCCATTTTGGTAGACGGTATTATTGATGTCATAGGTGACATTCGGGGCTTCACCTCTCAAAACGTCGTTGAACATCGGGGATTGACCCAGGACGTTCAAGTCGTTTTGAGATCCAACGACTCCGAAGAAAGCATGCCAAACCCATGTATCAAATCCAACAACGGCTTCAAGGATGATACTTTTTTGTCCTTTTCGATTCCCATAATCTCATTGCTAAGCAGTTGGGCAATTCTTCCACTGCCAGTGCATGCAGTCGATTCTACCAACCATTCTTGGAAATCCTCAAGCTTCGGCTTTTTGTAAAAGCCGTTGCAGGTCCCTGGGGGTAGGTCTGCGCAAGTAGTCCCTGGTGTACAGAGTTTCGACTGCATCACAAAATCTCACCAAGCTCTCCAAAGAAATGGACTTCCCCCCCATTCGGGCAATCTCATCCACCTAACCAGCAGATGACCCATACACCAATATTCGTATAACAGTTGTGAACTTTTGCTCGGGAAGAAGTCCCAAATTTCCAGCACAATTTTTCTTTTGAACAAAGTATTCACAAGAAGTCCCGTGGATGTGCAATAATGTCTTCCAATATGTGGATTCCACTTTCACAAGATTGATGTTTTTCATTATTTCCAAATGTGTGGGCTCCACTCAAGACTTTACAACAACTTTTTTTTAAAATTTCCCTCATTTTAGTTTTTCCTTCAGACCAGAACATTCTCATCACTTCTCTCTCGCTCTCCCTCTCCCTCTCTCACATTTTTAGGATTCTCTCTCACTGGACCTTTCAAGAGCTCCAGCTCCTTGTTCGCTAGAAGACTATTGCTCGAGCCCTATTACTTCAAAGTTGAATGCTCAGTGACAGTCCCAAGGTGCGATTCTCTAAAGCCCTAACCCTCAATGCTTGATTATGAGTTTTCTTATAGTTTAGAATCATGTTCCCTACTGCATTCATGTGGTTATAGGCCTCATTGTCTTCAATTCTTGATTTATACGGCACATTATTTTCGTTTAAATTCAGAAAGATTG